TGCCCCCCAGTGCTAGGGAAATGCAGCAGGGCAGTGAGGAGTCAAGTCACCTTCCTGGTCAGACAGGTGAAGGCAGGTGCACAGATGCTCAGACCCCTAGCAATCAGGAAATCCATCAGAAACTGCATCCCAGTCACCAGATGGACAAAGAGGTGAAACTACACACAAGCGGCACCAAGGAGCCAGAGGTGAGAACAGAGGTCTTGGGAGCAGAGGCTGAAAGCATATCCCAGGACAGCTATTCTGGAACGTGCCTTCCTATCACCTTGTGAAATGCAGAATGCTCAGGAGCCTCTCAGCACTGCCGTCTGCGGTATGAACCCTGGAGGACACCCCTCCCTGCGCCCGGGTGCAGTACAGAAAGAAAAGCCTCTCTCAGCGGGAACAGCCTGGTGCTTGAGAAGCACTCAGCAACCGCTGATCATTCCCTCTATTGTGCCCCAGCTCCCTTCCCCCAGCCCCCACTCCCAGCACACACTCATCCACCCACTCCGGATTCATTTTTCTGTTTGATCTGCCTTGCCCTGCAGGGAGAAGCAGAATTCACACATGAAGAAAGAGTGCCAGACTCCCCAGAAAGCTTTTTCAATGTCCTTTGCCCAGGAGAGGTTCCCGTTACAATAGGCCCTGGACCTCAGCCATGAGCCCAGGGAAGGCAGGAACCGATTTCATTCCACTTAAACCAATTTGCAGGGCCCAGACAGCAGCTAATGAGCAGCCTGCGCCCCAGAGTCATCGATATCACTTTCCAAATCAAGTTACCAAATTGGACTTAAAACCACTTCAAAGGGGCCAGGCTGAGCGTACCCAATGAGGCACCCGACTGGCCATATGGCCACAGCTCCCGCTGCAGGCGTCTTCCTTCTCCACCTCACTATCAGAGAAACAGACTAGCCGCCTTTTGTAATTGCGTGAGGGCCTCTTTCCTTTCCCCAGAATGCCTGATCCGCAAAGCGGAACTTGGGTCTACATAAAACACATGGTACTAACTGTGGCAGCAAATCCCCCCAAGGAGGCCTCATGGAAACGGCCCAGGCCCCGGAACACCGGCAGGCCCTCCCTTTTCCTACCACACAGACTGCTTTGGTTTGGATGCTGAGTGGCCCCCGAAGGCCTGTTTGTTAAAGGTGCTGCCCCTAGGATGGCCCTACTGGGAAGAGGTAGAACTCCAGGTCACTCTCAAAACAGGGTTGTAAAAACAGCTCGAGTTAGGACCCAGGCTCTCTGCTTCCTGGCTCAGGACGCAGACTTCCCTTTGCACCTAGTCAGCTCTCTGCTCCGAGGCCTCCAACAGCCTATGGCATCATCCCAACTTCCAGCCTCCGAACCCGCAAACTAGATAAACGTCTGTCCTTCACACACAGGCATCACAGGTATTTCAGGGTAGCACTGGGAAACTCTTTCCAGTACTCTGCTTGTCTAGGTTTTGCTGTCAAAAACACTAAGAGCGTGAAACCTGGGCAAGGTCACACACTGGCTAGCAAGCGACAGTCACAGTCCATGCTCAGCCTCAGAGCCACACCACCTGCCTTCACAAAAGGTTTAGGCCTCAAATAACCTCAATTCTTTTGTCCACAATTAAACATAAAAACAGACGAGCTCTGCACAAGAGACCACAATGCTCTTCCAGAGGACGTGTCCTTGTTACCAACACAAATAGGTCTCCTAGATTGGCCTCAGAGCCCAGCGGATGTGCCACCTTCTCTTCCATCCCGTTAGAGTCTGGAAGGCCATGGTATGACTTTCTTCAGGACACGTGAGGAGTGTGCTCAAGGTCATATGGCCAGAAAACAGAAGAATGCTCTTCTTGTGCAGCAGGAATGAAATCACTGCACTTACATTCAAAACTCTTTGCTCTAAAGCAGGCTACCTCTCCTTAAGCAGAAGCTTCTGTGGCAACACGCATGGCAGTCTTACAAGGTGGAGAGCTGTAAACAGAGCCCAAGCTCCACGGTTCCCAAGGAGGGAGCTCTTACACCCTCCTCCACCAATCAGGGTGCGTTTGTCAGTGTCTGGAAACAGCTGGTTCATCGCAGCCAAGGACGTGGAGGTGAGGCTGGTGGTTGCCCCTGCAGCTATTGGAGAGACCTGGAATCTTAGTAAACACTCTATGATGTGCAGGACAGCCTTCATACCAAACTACCTCCTCCAGGGATCTGCAGTGGCCAGGTCAAGACACGCTGCCAGAGGCCCTGTGCGAGTCTCTGCAGCTCTGCATGGGCTCAGTGTCATGCAAGAAGAGCTTCTCTATTACTCAATGTGATAAAATACTGATATTCATTTGCATTAAAATATAACACCATTCATTTTTGTAGCTAAAGACTTACAAAGTCTCTCAAAGAATTGGCCAAATGTAAGAATGGAGCCTGGCTCATCATGTGAAATAACGTTAGGGTGGGCTTGAGAAATAAATTCTGACTACCATGCTTCAGGCTACATGCTCAGAGATGGGGGTAGCCAGGAAGCAGGAGAGTTCTACCTTAAAACCCAAGATAGGGTGTGGTCCTGCCAGGAGGCGCTCACCTCACACAGTCAGCACGTCCAGGTCACAGGCCATTCCTCGGGCCCTTCACAGACACCCAGGCTCACATTCCTGCGGCTTCCTTCACTCTTTTGCTGGAACCTCAGGAAAGAGGTTCAAGGTAGAATAGAAAGAGATTAGGGAGGAGGGATGGCTGAACCCTGGATAAAAAGCATGTGCAGTCACATTCCTGGTTCAGAAGAGGACATGAAATCAGTGTCAAGGTCACGTGGCCAGCAAGGGGTTGCGTCGGGCCCTACCACCCTGCTCTGTGATCTCAGGGAAAAAACACACACAGGAAGTGTCCGGAAGGCCACAGCAGCCTTGTCTCCTGCAGTTAGTCTACCCAGTTTTTTTTTTAATACAATGCAGCTGTTATTTTAAATAATTAAAATTATCTTTACAAATAAGAATATCAGGGCTGGCACCACGGCATATCAAGTTAAACATCTGCCCACACTGGTACCCCATATGGATACCAATTCATGCCCCTGATGTTCCACTTCTAATCCAACTCCATGCTAATGTGCCTGGGAAAGCAACAGATGACCCAGGTGCCTGGGTCCCAGCCCCTACGAGGGAGACCTAAAAGAAGCTCCTGGTTCCTGTCTTTGGACCAGCCTAACATCAACCATTGCAGCCACTTGAGCAGTGAATCAATAAATGGAAGATCTCTCTCTCCCTGCCTCTCTTCTTTCTCTTTTAAAGATTTATTTATTTAAAAAGCAGAATGACAGAAAGAGGAGAGACAGAATGAGAATCTTCCATCACTGGTTCACTTTCCAAACAGCTGCGACAGCCAGAGCTGGGCTGGTCCAAACCCAGGAGTTTCTTCTAGGCCTCCCAAGTGAGTGCAAGGGCCAAGGACACGGGTCCTCCTCCACTACCTTCCCAGGCCATTAAAGGGAGCTGGATAGCAGGTGGAGCCACTACAACTCGAACCAGCCCCCATGTGGGATACTGGCACCGCAGACGGACATTTAGCTTGCTCTTCAACAATGCTGGGCCCATATCCCTCTAACTCTGCCTTTCAAATAAACAAGTAAATCTTTAAACATACACACACACACACACCCCTTTCTCGTGGAGCATAAACACTGAATGGGATTATGCAGCCTGAACAACTGTGGATTCCCACTCAGGACTTGCCAGTCCGGGTGCATGCTGTCAGTCAACTTACAAAGAGGCTGAATAAAGTAACTCAAGTTCACCTACCTGCAAGCCCCACTGGATTACTGATTGGGCCTGAAGTTAAATGGGGACAAGGGGTGGACAACACTAACCACTTTCCTGTTCTGGACAGAACTCCTTTAAGATTCAAGTGTGAATAATGATGTAATTACACATTAGTCTCTCACTAGAGAATCCAACTGAAGGCACGCAGCGTATCTGTGGACAGGAGGGCACCCAGACCACAATCCAGAGCTGGGGATGCTCCCAGCCAAGGGTGCAGAACAAAGACTTGTACTGGGTGAGGCTCCAGTGAAGACACTCAGCAGCAGCCCTCATGGAAAGGAAGCAGGTAGCAGCCTTATCCTGCAATAGCTCAGCAGCACTCACTATCTGCTGAGCTATGAAGACGGACACTCACAGGGCAAAGAAAGGGAGCAAGGCCTCCAAAGCCAGGGCATGGCGCAGGGGTAAGCAGAGCTCCACCAGCAAGTGAAGTTCAGAGAATAGCCAACCAGCATCAGAACACCCATAGGAAGCCAGAAGCCACATCCAGCACCACCTTCCTCCTTTCTGAGAAAGAACATCAAAGCCAACACGGGTGGCGGTGAGGGCGGGGTGCTCCTCATCAGAAAGAAGAGTGCTTGATCTCTCCTTAGAGAAAACACTGCATGCCCAGCTCTGACTGCGAGACCACTCCTCACTCCCGACCCTTCCATCCAAACACCCCTGGCAAATTTTGCCTTCTTGAGCCCAGACTCCCCTTGCAACAACATTCAGCACTGTTAATCTTATAAGTAAGTCACCCCTGCTTCAGGGAAAATCCATCCAAACCCACATAATCAGGTCATCCCAAGCCATCACAGCACATACCGCACTGCTCTACCCTCAAGACCCAGTTGGATCAATGTTTACAATGACTATCTGGGGAAAGTACTACTATCATCCTATTTTTTAAAAGCCTAAGGTATAGTAAGCTTAAGTAAACTCATCTGGTAGTGCAAGTAGTGTCATGCTTAGCGCCCCTGGCTATGTATACCTCACTTTCTCCCAGGGCCTTGAACCCTGACACCTGAATTCACATGAAACACTGGCTCCAAGCATGTATGAGGTGGACATGACCTCAGAAAGGCACTTCACCTCTCCATATGTCACTTCCTCCTCCATAGCAGGGCTCAGAGCAACAACATCTGCTCCATGCAAGCTATCTTCATGTTGGAAAAGGCAAGCATCCTACCCCTGGCATACAGCAGGCACCAGAAATGGAAGCTGTGCATGTGTGTTTCCGTACACACATACAAACACTCACCTGGCCTCTCCAAAAGCAACGTGTGAACACGCAGAAATAAAAGCAGATGAGAGACTACTGGAGGTGTCCACTGCCACAGGCAGCCGGTTGGAAGAAGAGGCTTCCAAGTAGATGAGACACTGTACGGGTCCTGGTTTGATGCTTCAGCATGCAGGTGCAGTAGCTGAGACACAACAAAGCTCTCCAAGGTTTTTAACCTGATTCCAACTGGACCTAGGAAATACCAAAGTTTGAAACGTAACCAGCAATGATCAGTTGTTAACAACTGTACCCCGGCTCCGGCTTCTCTAACAAACTGCTAAGACATACATACCACAACCAGCTTTGGGGCTGGTGAGATGGCTTAACTGGCTCATCTTCCAACCTACAAGTGCTGTCCAAAAGGATACCAGTTCATGTCCTAGCTGTTCCACTTCCCAGCCAGCTCCCTGCTATGGCCTGGAAAAGCAATGCAGGATGGCCCAAAATCTTGGGCCCTTTACCCTTGTAAAGGTGCTTGTGGGAGACCTGTAAGAAGTTCCTGGCTCCTGGCTTCAGATGGGCTCAGCTCCAGGCCATTTGGGGAATGCACCAGGGAATGGAAGATCTCCCTCTCTCTTTTTCTCTTTGAAATCTGCCTTTCCAATTAAAAAAAAAAAAAAAAGATTCTCCAGAACCCCCACAGCCCTCAAGGTAGGATTAGACAGAAGCACCCAGTCAAAGTTAGCAGCCCGGATGTCCAGAGAATCTGTCCCACTAACCCTTGCTTGAGCCCAGACCATGCAGAGGGACCCAGCTGGCCTTGTCTTCTATAACCTCTCCCACAGGCCCAAAGGCCACTGTGGCACTCTCTGAAATCCTGCCTTTTACCAGAGCCAAGAGAGAGAGAGGCTCAAGTGGCCTCATGTTCTGGAAGGTTCATCCAACCACCAACCCTAGACTGCTGGCTGACAGAGACTGTGACAGTGATGTCTTGTCTACCACCTTTGCCAGGACAGGCATTTGTGGCAAAGCAGGTGTTCAATTCCCATCTGTGAAAGCAGACTCCTGCCATCAACCCGCAGGACTAAGAATTAACGAAACACGACTAAGGGGAAAACTGTTACACAAAATTCCCTACTTCCTGACAATCCTTCGGGGTAGAAAACTGAAAAGCTTTGTGAGCAGATGACTCAGCACACTACCCTGTGTGTAGTGGAATATATTGACACATATGTATATGTGCGCATGCACAGGTGTTGATGGAGATGCGAACATCTACCCATATATCAGTCTACGTTGGACTTTTGAATTGGCAATGGGAGAGAAGGAAGTGGGTGTACATGGCAAATCTGTTGCTTGGGAATTCATCAGGCACCATGTACACAAACAGCTAGTCCACACTGCTCCCTGGGAATCCAGTGTTGTGCCCAAACAGGTTGTGAAAGGTGTGGGTTACAGGGCACTGTGAACAGTCAACCGAGCTGGTTTCCTTTAGGGTTTCAGTGTTGAAGTACGCTAACAGGACAGAAAGAAAATGCCTACAACTCTTGCATGCCCTGTACTGTGGCTTGCCTAAGTCTCAAAAGTTCCTGTGGTGGAAACACAGTGTGCAGTACAACAATGGGACCTCTAAAAGGTGACAGCCATGAGGGCTCTCCTACATCGATTGAGTCACTGCTGTGAACATGTCTGTCACGATGAGGGGGTGGGGGTGCACTTCTTACAATAGCCAAGTTGGACTTTCTCTTGCTCTCCTGCCCCTGTGTGATGCCTCCCACCAGGTAACGATGCAGCAGGCAGGCACTGACCTCCTTCTCAACCTCCTGTGCCATGAGAAATAAACCTCAGGTACTTTCTTATCACAAAACAGTCTAACACCCTGGCTTTATTCATGCCCTCTTCGAGCTGGTCCATTTCAGATGTTCCATCAGGATCATCAATCATTCCTCTCAGAGAGAGACAAAGAGGGATTGAAACTAGAGCAGCTCTGGGTCCCAGCACACACCTGTGAGGGACAGAGAGACACAGAGTGTGCCAATGACATCCCCGCCTGAAGGTCTCCTTACACCCTGCATGCATCCCCGTTTCCCTCCAGCACCAGCATCTAGGAGGCCACAAGGTGAGTGCACATCCTTGCCCGTGAAGTGATGGGCCCTGCTTCATGCATTGCTGCCCATCACAGCCCCGGACAGGCCAGGGCCAAAGGTCAGGCCCCTCCAAGGTGGTGTTCCCGGGAATGTGCGTGGCGGAAGCAGTAAGCAGGGCCAAATGGTCCTGCCAAGTTTTCCAGAGGAAATGAGTCAGGCGTTGTTGTGCAGTCCCACATGGCCCTGCGAGGAAGTGGCATTGTCTGGGACAGCCACAGGGCCCTTACATAACAGGCACCCCTCTCACTTTCTGGCCATGGCCGTATTTGGGGATTGGCAAAAACATCTGATGAGTACCTCCGCCTGTGTAAACACTGGCTTTATTAGGGTGGTAGAGAGAGTCTGGATGGAGCTCTGCTTGGCTCGGTGCTCATAGTGAAACGGACTAACACAGCCTCCTTCTCTCGACTCAGATCCTTTGGGTGGCAGTGCTGCTCAATGGTTAGGCCCAGGCTCTGGAACCAGACTGCCAGCCTGCTCCTGGCTTCCAATTCCACCACTGTTCAGCAACCTGATCTGGGCAAGTGGTGCCACTGTCCTGTGCCTTAGCCACCTCCTCTGTGGTTCAGAGCACAAACACATGCCCCTGAGTACTGCCCTGCAGCACAGGAGACAAGCTAGGATCCTATGGACAGCACTCAAGGCCTGTGGAACAGCACTTCACACGGAGGTCACCGCTGCCCCCACCTCTCAGTAAAATGCAAGGTCCTGGGGCCTGCCAGGGAGTCTACACAGGGTCTCGTGGCTATGCCAACTTGTCTAGGCACTCGGGGAACATAAACAGACCAAGAGCCTCCCTGGAAGCTCAGGAGTAAGAACTGGAATGTCCTTCCTGGAGGTGTCAGAAGATGCTGGCCAGGTTTACTAAAAACTTAGTTAAAAGGGACTGCAATTCAACTTCCACAGCTGTGTCCCATATGCTAGGTGGAGGCAGAGCAAAAATGCCATAGGGAAGTTCTCTGTGGTGGGCACACACTCATGCACTCTGTAAGTCCATCATGGCACATGAGAGCGAACCTCAACGCCCCAGGAACCAGAGTCTCCACACTTCCCCAGGGCCCTCAAGATCACTGCTCAATTTCCTCTTCATCCCACAGGGAAAATACCATCACATACATGCATGTGCACACCCATGTCTTATTTCAAATAGTGGGTAGTCTGGAACACAAACAGGTGCACAAAGTTCCTAAGTTCAGGTCTAATCTTGAGTGAGGTCAGGGGTTGGACTGTTCAGGTCTGCCTTGTTTCATTCTTCACTGATGGGATTTCCCCTGCTGTTGTGTGGCTTGCTGGGCTGCATTTTGATTTTTTCTCATTTGTGAAATAATCACAAACTCGCAGAAATGCTGGGAGAGGAGAGTGAATCCTTTTCTGCTGCGTGGTGCGGAAGAAAGCGGCTGACTTGGTTGTCTTCATCCAGGATACCTCCTTGGGTGTATCCTAAGCCAGGGACACAGTTTTAGCTCCACCACCTACAGCTGATGCTGGCAGGATTCCCACAGTACGTTCCCACACCCCTGCCCCCATCCCAGGACCAGCAGCTGTCAGAGCCAGAGGTAGCTCCAGGTCGCCTTCCCTCTAGAACCAGTCCTTGGTCTGTCCCTACCTCAGATGACTTCGATATTTGCACCCCAGAACACATCCTCAGATGTGGGAATGCCTGACAGTTCTGCACAGTTAGCATTGTGCATTTTTAAGAATTTTCTTTCTTTTCTTTTTTTTAACAAAAATTTGGCACAGTGGCAAGGTGAGAGTTGGGGCAGATTTCCTGGAAGAAGTCAACCATCTAGGTCAACTGTGATGACAATGCTCCCCAGCCGATTTTAATCAGGAGAGGCAAGATGGTGGAGGGCGGTTTGGGGCTCAGGGAGGGACCCAGCAGCTGGCCCATCTGCAGGGGAACTACGGCGCCTACACAGCCAAGTGGATCCTGGCATCATCCTCTGGGGCCAGCTTTGCTTACAAATAACAAGAAGAAAAGCTTGCAGAATCTAGTTTAAAGAGATCTTTCAAGCAATGCCAGGCCTCTCCCTCCCTGGTCACAAAGTACAATACACATGTTTCTCTTGCTTCTAGTAGGGGTGTATTAAAATCCTTGAGGATTTTGCCCCCTAACCACGGCATGCTGGCTCCCACCGCCTGCACACTCACAGATCATGAAGTGCAGAAACAGCGGCTAATTATGGCTTTCACAAACACAGGGATCTTTCCTGAGGTTGGAAGTTGCTGTACTTGAAAGGCCGACTTTCTTCCAATTTCCAGGAACTGAGTGGCCCAGAGCCCGTCTATTTAAAGGTCAGCTCAACCCTGATGCATTTGGAGGCCTGCCCTGGACACCAGCTTAGGTCTGGCCCTCTCTGCAGCCACCACGGCAGGCCAGGCTGTGAACGGCATTGTGTCCCTGGAAGGGAGGAGGGTGAGGGCCAGAGGCAAAGACAGGAACAAAGATGGGAGATCAGGAGTGACCAGTAGCCTCTCCCCTCACCCTCTAGGTATATAAATAACAAAGTCCTGGGCAGTGACTGTATCTCTGAGCCCAGCCTGGGCCCCAATTTCCAGCGACATCACGATCTTCTCTGCCACCATTTGAGCCCAAACTCGAGAAGGTGCAGGATGCAGGCAGCATTAACAACAGAAGCATTAAATGGCACTGGTTACAGCATGAGGCAGATAGGGCTGGGGTGACAAGTGTAGGCCAGTTGTGAGACAAACAGCTAGGGCAAGTGGAGATGGCCAGACCAGGAGCCAGCCAGGTGGAAGCCAGCAGCTGGGGGATTAACAAGAGAAAACTTGAGGGTGAAGGGATTCTGGCTAAACTGACCTAACAGGATACCTGCAGAAGCCAGGCCAGGGAGAGTGGAAATCACCAGGAGGGTGCTAGATGTTGGGAACCCAGTCATGCCATGGAAAGAAATCAGGGGTGAGGGCAGGGGACCTTGCCACACTGACTAGGACTTACTTACGCAAGCCTGGGAGAAAGTTGAAAAGCTGACTGAGGCTCAGTTAATGGGGGATTCATCAGTTGGCAGCCAGAAGGGGTGAGAGCCTTTGTCACTCCCCAACCATAAAAAGGTTAAGAGAGTTTCACTCTGATGCTACTACATG